TCGTAGTGTTGTACACAGGGCTGTTATGAGTCAGAAATAACTCAAAGGCACATAACAACAACAACAACAACAACAACTATGAAAGTCTGCACTCCAACAAGTTGGAAAACCTAAATAAAGTTAACAAATATGTAAACACACACCATCTATCCAAATTAATGCAGATTGGCATATGAAACCTCAACAGTACCATAACAAAAGAAGAAAGAGAACAGGTCACTAAAAAACCTTCATACAGGAAAAGTCTAGGACTAGATGGCCTCACAGGGGAATTCTACCAAGTACTCAGAGAAAAGCTGTCACTAATTCTACAGACTATTCCAGCATATAAAAAAAGGACAGTAAACTAAAACTCACTTCATTAAGCAAGTATAACACTAATACCCGAAGCAGGCAAAGACACAAGGATAGGGAACTACAGACCAATAACTCTTATGAACACAGCCACAAAATCTTCAATTCCTAATCATTAGAATCCAACAATAAATCAATATATATATGAGAGGGTACCCCCCAAACCGGGAACCCCCCCCAAAAAAAACACTATGTTTTAAAATTTTTTTACAAAACAACCTTATCACCTTCAAAATACTCTCCATTACACTTAATACATTTGTCAAATCTGCAATTCCATTCTTGGAAACATTTTTCAAATTCATCTGTTTGGATGGCTGACAGCACCTCCTTCGTTTTTTTCTTCACCTCTTCTACAGCTTCAAATTGCTGTCCTTTCATGTTCCTCTGCAGTCTCGGAAACAAAAAGAAGTCACATGGAGCGAGTTCATGTGAGTCAGGTGCATGGGGCAAGAGAGGCATGCTGTTGTTTGCCAAAAACTGGCGCACAGAGATGGCTGTGTGAGCAGGTGCATTGTCCTGGTGGCAAAATCAGTTATCCATCTGCCACAAATCAAGCCTTTTTTGTTGCACGCTATTATGCTTTCTTTTCAGAACCTCTAAAGAGAAAGCTTGATTAACAGTCTGACCCAGTGGAACAAACTCCAAATGCAATAAAAGTCAACATTTTCATTCGATGGAGAATATGATGGACGTCCAGAATGAGGTTTGTCATCAATCGACATTTCACCTTTTTTGAAATGAGAAAACCACTCATACACTTGAGTTTTTCCCATAGCATTGTCCTTGTAAGCTGTGTTCAACATCCTAACAGTTCCTGTGGCATTTTTCCTGAGCAGTAAACAAAATTTCACAGCTGCACGCTGTTCTCTTAAATTGACCATTACAAAAATGAGGTTCGAGCGGAACTGCTTTTATGAAAAATTTCACTGTGACCAGAGAGAACCTTCCCTGGTGACACCACTGGGTGCACTAACTCAGAGTGAGTTGCTCGATGCTCACCTAGTGGAAAAAATGCTTACTATGAAAGTTCCACTCCACCCAGTGCAATTCTGGGTTTTTTGGGTACCCTCTTGTACAACAGTGAACCCAAGTGATTAAAAGTCTAAATGTAAATCCTAGAGCTTTAGCCCTCTAACGCCAAGCGCAATGTTTTCGTAACATTTAATTAAAATGTATATATTAATATATATTGATAACTACGAAAGTAAAGAATAAAAATTAAAAAAAAAATTTCCTGAAATTAAAACTTCAGGCATTATAGGGACAAAAGTCATGCATGAGGAAATAGAGACAAACTTAAGGATCCTAGTGCAGTATATACACATACTATCAAATATAACAAAGGAAGCACATACAGATGACAAAATAGATCACTGGGACCTACTAACAATAAGCTACATATGTGCATCCAGAGTCTTCACCAAGAGAGTAAAAAGAGCCCATGAACCTGGGAACAGTTGTTAGCAATGACACACGAATAAGGAACTAAACTATACTCTTCAGAATACTGCAAGGTCTCAATAAGAAAAAACAACAAATATCCTAATTAAAAAGTGAGCAAAAAGACAGGAACAGACAGTTTACCAAAAATGACCTTCACATAGCTAAGAAGCACAACAAAAATGCTCATCGGGAGATGCAAATCAAAACAAAGATGAGATATCACCTTACACTGACAATGAATGACAGCTCAATTAAAATAAACAAATAAATAGCAAACGCCGGAGAGGCTTCCGACACTGGAACTCGTACACACGACTGTGAGCCTATACACAAGTACAAATGTTGAGGAAAGCAATAAATAAAACCAAAGTCAGTGACAGAGTCCATTCGGAATCGTAACAACACTCTGGGACAAAGCAGAAAGTTTCATCTTTCTCCCCCAGAGCAGCTGGTGGGTTTGAACAGCTGACCTTGTAGTTAGCAGCCCAATATGTAACCACCATGTTACCAGGTCTCCTGGTGCTACCTCAAGCAACTGAGAATGGAAATCCGTGAAGAGCCAGTATAACCCTAGAGACATAAAGCAGACAGACATAACACAAACACTCCCATCATCTCAGCACTATTCACATACACATAGCAAGGCAATAGAAACAACCCCAAAGTCCACCAGAAGAATGGACGAAGAAACATACACACAACGAACGACTACGCGTCACTAAAAAACATTGATGAAACCACCAAGCACCCCTCAACATGGATGGGCCTGGACAACATTATGCTGGGTGACGTTCATCAGTCACAAAAGGGGAAATATTGCATGAGGGCACTACTGAATGGAAAAACAGCAAGACAAAGATAGGCACCTGTTCTCAGGTCATGTAATCATCTGGTTTCCAAAACAATGTGGTGGTGTGTCTACGGCTTAGGATCCATTTATCACTCCTTTATTTATACATCTCAAAAACCACCTCTGCTGGGGCCAATTGTTATTTAAGGGGGATAGGGTCAGGGACAAAGAGATCCTGCCATGTAGCCCTGTCTCCCAGTCACCCCAAACTAGGATCCTCCAATAATGGTGATCAGTGACTTTAAATGGAAACGTGTGTGTGTGTGTGTGTGTGTGTGTGACACACACACACACACACACACACACACCTCTGGGGAAGTGGTTTCACCTCTACTGGGGATTAAACCAAGGAACCGAGCCTGCCTGTGGGCAAAACCCTTACCATTGCTCATGAAGACGCCCAATGAGAGAATCTGCCCAGCGTTAGGTTGTTCTAATCAAGCATTTTAGACTGTTTCCTTTCAACCGTCAGTGACCCTGGATGCATGCTACAGGCTACCTAGTTCTTAGAACGTATCCTTTCACAGTGTATCCAATTCAGATTACCATTCAGAAGAAAAAAAACAATGTTCTGTTAGAATATAATTATGAGGGTGAATCAAAATATATACTACAAAAGTCATGGAAACCTAATTAGATAAAGATATTAAAATGTGAAGTTATTGCTTTTCAACGTATCTTCTATGTATGTCTATATCGGTGGTTCTCAACCTGTGGGTCGTGACCCCTTTGGGGGTCTTCTAAGACCATCAGAAAACACATATTTCCGATGGTCTTAGGAACCAAGACACCGCTCCTCTGTCCAACTCCAGGTGGGTCCGCCCACAGGAAGATAAGATACGCCCACATACTCAGTTACCCATGCTACACCATGCTTCAAGACAAAATGTCATTGATTTGTCATTAGAAATAAATATTTAACAATATATAATTACATATTATTTTTGTGATTCATCACTATGCTTTAATGATGTTCAATTTGTAACAATGAAAATACAGCCTGCATACCAGATATTTACATGGTGATTCATGACAGTAGCAAAATGACAGCGATGAAGCAGCAATGAAAACAATGTTATGGTTGGGGTCACCACCGCATGAGGAGCTGTATGAAAGGGCCGCGGCATGAGGCAGGCTGAGGACCGCTGGTCGATGTGCTTTTGAGGGTGGTGTTTCCATCTCTCATCCTTCCACTGAGCATCACTGTGCGCCCTTGGCTTTCCATCATATCAAAATGGAAGTTTGCGTATGTTCTACAGACTCAAATCACATTCTTTTTAGATGCTTGGTGAAAAGTCTAACATTTCCCTGTGTAATTCTTACAGAACAGCCTTTGTTACCCTTTAAGCATAGCAGGTTCATTGTCATAATGTGGGAAAGTTTTCTCAGCACAATCCACCTTTTTTCCTTTTCTTCAAACTTCTTCCTAATAAACCCTTTTATTGTCGCATATCATTCCAGAAAAGCTATCAAAATCACCCCCGTGGGATGCCCCAAAACCAGTCACCATCATCTTCTACGCCTTAGACTCACTGGCCCGGCAGATCTTCTCAGAAGCCTATTTTATGTGGACTTTTTTAAAGGCACCCTAACGAGACTACAAGTGTATTGTTGAAAGAACTTATTTGCAGCCATTCACTGACTGGTCATGTTAAACACGTTTCGTTTGGAATAAACCGACGCATGTATAAATGGAAACCTTAGTGGCATTATTTTATGTGTGCGCGTGTATGTAAATGATATCAATAATGACATATATACATCATCTTCAAACACACACAC